ATGTTAATAAACATTACAAACAAACATTTATGGAAAGAAAAAAAAATCAGAAGGCTTTAGGAAAGGCTTTAGCAAAATCTGTATGCCTTCTTCAGTTTAAAAGTTTTGACATAAAAAAGAGACAAAAAAAGTTGACTTTCTTTGTTTTACTCCCAATTCTTAACTTCACTATAAACCCTTAAACTTCAACATAACACAACTGAAGTCAAATATATTTTACTGTAACCTTTTCAGCAATAGATTTTTTTTAATATTACACTGAAAGGTAGAGAGGTGATAAGAGTAATTTATTTTATGTATTCTAATTATGAATTAAAATGACATGGTTGTCACTCACCAAATAACTCTAGGAAGTTACAAGAAAGTTTTTAAAAAGGCGAGCCCTTGGTGCTCTCTGTGTTTGGTTGTTTCCTTGCTGACATTTGAATACCCAACTAAGCAACATTATCAGTACTAGTATGGGATTTGCTCCCTGTTTATTTACAGTGGCTTGCCTTGCCAGCATTAGTAAGGGGGTAGTCTTCTCCTTGGTAGTTCCTAAATTAGGGTATTGTTTTCTGCTTGATTGTTTGTCTGATATTAATCCCTGCTTATTTATCTGCTTATCTATTAACCTCCTTATTTAAAATAAGTCCCATTAGGTGACACTGTTAAATCGATGGACTTCAAACACATCAACCCTGCTAGATCTTGTGGGGTGGTCAGAGATAATTGGAGATAGATGGTCCTGTAAATATATCCAGGTCCTCTGCAATGTAAGATTGGGAATAAAGTGATGCGGGTCCAAATCCATACTTAACTAGGGAAAGTCAGTGATGAGTTTGAGCCAGTCACTATCTTTCAGCCTGATTTATTTTGCAAGTTTTTTTAGTGCAATTAAGATTGTAATCCAAAAATGACAATTACTATGACCACTAACAAAATGAGAAGACTATTTAAGTAGGGCTCGAACATGGAATATTTAGCAGCATTTCAGCCCTATAAAAGAACCTGCCTGCGCAATTTGTATTTCATATGTAATGTTCCCACTTTGGATGCTGGATTAGTTGCCCAGCCTTGCTCTTAGCTTCAAGTTTTTCATTTTCCTGGAGAAAATAAACAAGCATGAGTCTCGCAGAAGATCCTAACAGAGATCTGCAAACTCTCATTTTCTCTCATTTTCCCACATTTAAAGAAGCATACTTTAAGCTTAATAAAAGCAAGGTTATTCATAAATACTGTGTCTGATTTTACCGTTGTTCTGAGACAACTGTCAGATGAGGCTTTGCTGTAACTTTTTGATAAGAAGATTATGCAATACATCCTTGAAATCCCATATCTCCTCAATAGTTTTGTTTACTACTAAAAGTTAAGAACTGTTTTAAAAAATGGAATGGTAGAAGAGTGAACCAAAGCTTCAAATATATTATGAGCTTGTATGACCTTTTAAAATAGAAGTTTCATTTTACATTGAAAAAAGAATCATGAATTCCTTTCGATTCTATCAAACTATGATGACCTAATCCGTGATGGAGAACCTATGGCAAGCATTCCACAGGTGGTACGCAGCACCCTCTTTGTGTACATATGAGCCATCCCCTTAGTCCAGTGCCACTGTGCATGCACGCATGCCGACAGTCTCTGCTGCACATGTGGGGGCACATGCAGGGAGTGCGCACATGCAGCAGGGGGACAGGCACATTCGCAGGGGCCACACGCGCATGTACGAGGGTTCACGGTACAGGCATGTGGGGAGTGCACGTGCATTGCATTTTAGTGGTGTGGGGCGCATGCGTATTCGCACACAGAAGCTTCAGGTACTTCGTCCGGAAAAGGTTAGCCATCACTGACCTAGATAAATAAACAACTTCTCCATTCACTTCAGTTTCTCAGAGTTTATAGTATAGCCAAAAGTGCTGATCCATTCAGACAAGATTATAAATAATTTTTTTATACTACAGATTTTGTATACAATCATTATCACAGTATTAACAGAATAATGCTTCCCAATATGACCTTTTGAGTTTTTATAGAATACACACATCTTTCCTAGATGTAACTGAACAGCCAGTACAGCTCCAAAATTCTTTTGAAGTCCTGCAACATTGCACTTCATTTTACATTCTTATTAGAATCAGTAATCCTATTAATATATACAAGAATATAGAAATTTACACTTATGATAACCAGGGTCACATTATTTGATGACCGCCTGATTGCTGCCACAGAATATTTGACCACAATTACACATGCTATCATTAGAATCAGAACATAGAAATTGTGTGTGCCAAAGATCTGGGATGTTGTTGCTAGGTAAAATAAATGGGTTCCTAAAATACCTATAAAAGTTACAATACAACATGATTTCAAGTTCTTCTGAACCACAAGGATAAGTCCATTCAAAGGGGGACAACAGTGTTCCTTAAGACAAAAGACTTTATGATGGAAAATTATCAAGGAAAGATGCAACCTAGAACTAAGGAGAAATTTCCTGAGAGAACAATTAACCAGTGGAAGGGCTTGTCTCCAAAACTTGTAGGTGCTCCATCAATAAAAAGTCATTGGGCAGCCATTTCTCTGGAACAGTACAGGATCTCCTGCTTGACAAGGGCTTGGACTAGAAGGCCTGCAAGGTCCCTTCCAACACTCACTCTGTATTCTATGACAAATGTCTGAGTCAATCGGAGACTGTACATGATAAGCATGACAAAGTCTGAAAGTTCAATTGCTCTCAAAGGTAGGTGCTTCCCAGCTATTACAAAACTATATTAGCTGATTTTCTCCCATAAAGCTCATGCATTTTTAGTTTGGAATCCACTCAGAGATACTGTTTTGCAAGTTTTTCTAGGATCAGATTGTTTTGTGCTGTTGTGTTTTTTTG